ATCCAGTTTTCAGTTCTGTCTCAGGGGTAATTTTTCCACGAGTAGTTGTAAATTAGCTGTGTCCACGGGAGGAGGTGAGTTCAGAGTCTGCCTACACCTCCATCTTGACTCCACCTCTAAACCACAATTTAATAGTTAAAAAATCTCTTTTGAGGGCCACCTGGTGGCATAGTGGTTAAGTTCACGTGCTCCGCTTCCGCAGCCCAGGGTTAGTGGGTTCAGATACCAGGCGCGGACCTATACACTGCTCATCAAGCCATGCTGTGGCAGCATCCCACACACAAAAAATAGAGGAAGACTGGCACAGATGTTACCTCAAGGACAATCTTCCTCATCAAAAAAAAATGTTTAAAAAAAAATCTCTTTGCAATAAGTAAAATAACTCTCCTCTGACTTATGGCTTCAGTAAATTTTGGGGTGAGGGAGATGAAAACCTATAAAACAAAACTTACCCAACTCAGATCTAAAACCTGAGCCAAATCTCTCTCGATGCCAACAGTATTACTGCAGTGTAGGCATTTCAGTAGCCTCCTGTACACCACACTAATTCTCTCTTCTTTAAATGGACTAAATAGAAATGTGCTACAACAGTAGAATCATTTTAACCTAATAGCCAAATAAACTAAATGGTTAGTAAATTAAATATATTTCTCAATAATTTTGTAGTCTGGCCATAATTCCATTTACCTCATTAAGTTTGGATAGCCTCATATATTGTGATTCATCTGAGCAATTAATGGCCTCAGCATTTTACAACAGTCACTCTATCTAAAGTAGTTAGGAAGACAGAAAGCTTTCAGTTCAAGTCATTTTCCTTTGAAGAGAGATCTATAACCATTGCCTCATGTCAAAACAAAAGCTATTTAAGGAGAATACAGATCAAATTCTGTTACTAGAAAAGTGTGTGTGTGTGTGTGTGTGTGTGTTTAAGGAGCCCATGCAAACATTTGATATATCTAAATTCCAGGATGATAAAAGAATTTTGACAAGCTTTTAGGATGCATTTTGGCTACATTGTATTACCTTGATCAGAATGCTTACTTGTTTGCCTGTTTTTGAATGGTAGTTATTTTAACCTCTTGAATTAATTTCACAATGGCTTGGTTTTGTTTTGTTTTTAATTTTTATTGATGTCATAATAGTTTATAACATTGTGAGATTCCAGTTGTACATTATTATTTGTCAGTCACCATATAAATGCGCCCCTTCACCCGTTGTGCCCATCCCCCAAATCCCTTCCCCTTGGTGACCACCAAACTATTCTCCCTGTCACAATGGCTGGTTTTTAATGCACAGTCTACTTGACATCTCTGCCCCATTTGACACTGTCCACTACCATCAAGCCATCCTCTCTGATCTTTACAATTACCACTGTCTAAGGTCCTCCTAACTTTAATAATTCTTATCTTGGGCTCTGTCACGGCCTTAGATGTTGTCATTTCCTTGTACCTCTTCTTTTCTCTCTGGTGTGCTTATCCGATGGCCTCATCCATTCTCATGGCTTCATTTATAGACATTGACTTCCAAATCTCTTTCTTTTTTTTTTTTTTGTGAGAAAGATCAGCCCTGAGCTAACTTCCAATGCCAATCCTTCTCTTTTTTTGCTGAGGAAGATTGGCCCTGGGCTAACATCTGTGCCCATCTTCCTCTACTTTATATGGGACACCACCACAGCATGGCTTGACAAGTGGTGCATTGGTGCACGCCCAGGATCCAAACCTGCGAACCCCGGGCTGCCGAAGCGGAGCGCGTGCACTTAACCGCTACGCCAATGGCCCAGGCACCCAAATCTGTTTCTTAAATGCCAGTGTCAAACTTGAATTCCAGACTTGTATTTTTAATTGTATTCTGGACACCTCTACCTGGATATACAAAACACATTTTATTGTTATTATTTATTATCTACCTGGATATACAAAACACCAAAACACTCTGCTCCTCTTCCTAGATTCCTGTTCTAAGTTAATGGTGTTACCATCCATCCATTTCCCCAAGCTGGAAATCTCAGAGTTACTCTCAATTCCACCCCCTCTCACCCACCTCATATTCAATCACTAATATTGAAGGTTCTCTTTCAGAAATATCTTCAGTCTAGCCCATCTCTTCCTTCTTCTCTGCCTTTGCACTAGTTTAGGCTTGTATCTTTCACTTCACTCTCCAAGCAGCCTCCTAACTAGTCTCCTTTCTTACTCTGCCTGATCTAGTCCATCCTCTAAGGTACCAACAGTGTAATCTGTCTTGAAAGAATCTGCTCAATACCACAGCTTGCTTTTGCCTATCAAGTAATGCCCAAGTCCCTAGGCTGGCAAACAACTTATGACACAGTTACCTCATGGTCAGTTTGGATGGTTAAAGCTGTATCCAACATACCACTCTTTACTGATCACTAAAAACATGGTAAGGAATCTAAGTGAAGATTTTTTCTACCATGCTTAACGCTGGATTAAGCAGCAAATTCACAAAAAAATACTGTCAAGCTCTGCAAAGAGCTACCTTAGATGTATATAAAGAATAGTCTTTACATATAAACTGTATAATAAAAAAAGGACTTCTAGGTGAATAATGTTTTCCCAAGTACATTCATTAATATGTAAATAGCAATTAATAGCATCATATTGACCTATTTGCAGAGTTAAAGTCTCTTGTGCAAGTTCTCTAGAGCTGGATGAAAATGTTGGCAAATGGGTAGGAGAAATCTTCCCTCAAATAGACTAATTGCTATCGTCTTTTTCACTGCCATTTCATTTTGTCAAAGATTTAGCTTATTTTTTAATAATTATGTTACATATAAATATTGTATTTTCCCCAATTTTAAAATTTATCTTTGCTACCAGCCCACACTGAAAAAACCATCTACGTCAGGACATTAAAACAAGGTTTGTTCAGTTCCTTATTTTGAGGTCTTTGCCTCAAAAGTGCGTTTTAGGATCCACATGCGGAGATCCAAGCAGCCACGAGAGGGCGCCAGCCACTTACGCAACGACTGACGAATGGTTCCCCGCCTTCCCCCTTCTCCTGAACTGTTTATTTCAAATCAGAAAAGCCAAGTGTTCTTGGTAAAAGCCTTAGTAAATATGTTTTATATCCTCTCTCCTTTGTGATTTGTAGTGATATATAAACATAAAACCAGAGATAACCAGAGCCACACTTATATTTCTCCCCCACCCGTGCAAATAGCTTCTGTGGTCTTCATTACAGGGCAAAAGGACCAGTTGACAGTTGCATTTCTTTCTCAGCTTTTCTTTGCCTGCCCCTCTGCGACGTTTTTTGTTTTTTTGTTTTTTCTTCTCAGGTGTGAAGTTTATCATATCCTTTTATTGCTCAACTGAATGGCTGTAATTATATTAACTGACTTTAAAGTGGTCAGATTTCTCTCCCCCTCCATTTCTCTGTTTTTCTAACTTCTCTCTCCTTCCCTCATATATTCTCAAGCAGTTTTTCCTCTTTATATTCTTTTTTTTCCAAATATTTTACTCCTGAAAGCAATGTTACAAGAAATGGGGAGGCCATGCTATTCAAAACTCCAGGAGTAAGAAAAGCCTACCGTAGGAGTCAGGTGGAACCAGAAGCCGCCTGCCTGGGATCACCCTCCTTTGACGGCGCAGGGGAAGGTGGTGCTTCTCCAGCCAGACGGAAAAGACATCTCTCCACGTCTTCCTGGAGCAGGAGAGGAAGCAAGATGGGTGGCTCTGAAGCATCTGGGAATGCAGTTCACAATAATGCACAGTGTTAGCTGAATGAGACAAAATCTATTACTACCTCTGAGAAGAGATCAAAAAGTCTGTAAACTCAAGCAAATATAAGAGTTGCCCCATTGGTGAGACCAAAAATCCATTTAGATCATTTTTTATTCTTGAAATAATGACAGAGCCCTAGAGAAGAGAGAGTATGCTTCCTCATTCTGAAAGGAGGGAGTACCTTTATTCAGTTAAGTAGGTTGGTAGATTTGATGGCAAGAAGATGAGGTCATTATTACCTGCTGACTTCTGTTCCTTCAATGAAGTGTAAAGTGAGACCACCAGTTGAGAGCGAGGGAAGATGAAGTGTTGGAGGTGTAAGGAGAGAGCAGATGTGAAATAAACAACTTGGAGAGTCGGAGGGCTCTGGATTCCATGCTGCCTAGTTGAGGATTTCATTCCCGCTATTATCTGCCTTCTTTTCTGCATCATGCCTTAGTGTTGTCCTTAAGTAAACTCTCCCTGGAGTCCACTTCCTCACCAGCTTCTGCCCTGTATCTCAGCATCCTTTCACGCTGAAACTTATCAGCAATTGCCTATACTTGCCCTTTCCACTTTCTCACTTCTCTTTGTTCTACTCACTCCAATCATATGTTCATCGCATTTGCTGAAATGACTTTCATCAAATATGTCACCGATAACTTTAACTTACTGAATACAATGTCAATTCTCAGTCCTCTCTAATTTGACCTCTCTGCAGGATTTGGCAGAGATGACCATTTCCTCCTATTTAAAACACATTCGATTGTTGGCTTCCATCACCATATGCTCTCAATTTTCCTCCTGTATCACTGCAGTTTCTTTTGGGTCACCTCTTCCTTTACTCCATCTCTAAATGTTAAAGTGCCCCAAGTCTCTGTTCTAGGACCTCTTTTCTTCTGCACTTAAACTCACTCCATGGGTAATTATATACAGTCTCATTGCTTTAAAACAATCTATATGCTGATGAATTACAAAATTATGTGTCCAACTCTGATCTCTCCCCAGATCTTCATATTTGAATATTTAATGCCTTCTTACATCTCCACTTGTATCTCTTAGTGCATCTCAAATATAACAAGACCAAAACAGAATTATTGGCCCTCCTCCGGGATTTTTTCCTATTTGTCTTCTCCATCTTGGGTAAAGCATCCCCACTCCCCAGTGCTTCCTCTCGCCATGCCATCCAATACATTAACAAGTCTTGTTAGCCCTAGCTGCAAAGTGGAACCTGAATCAAGCCGCTTCTCACCACCATGACTGCTACCACCTTGGTCCAAGCCACTTTCATCTATTGCCTGGGTAACTGCAATGACCATCTGACCATTCTCCAAGTTCATCTTGTTGCTCACCACTAGAGAAGGCAGAGAGACTTTTTATTTTATTTATTATTTTTTTTTATTGAGGTAACACTGGTTTATAACATTATATAAATTTCAGGTGTACATCATATTTTGATTTCTGTCTAGACTATATCATGTTTACCACCCAAAGACTAATTACCACCAATCACCATACACATGTGCCCATTTACTTCTTTTGCCCTCCCCCCTCCCCCCTTCCCCTCTGGTAACCACCAATCTAATCTCTATATCTGTGTTTGTTTGTTGTTGGTGTTGTTTTTATCTTCCACATTTGAGTGAAATGATAAGGTATTTGACTTTGTCTGATGCATTTCACTTAGCATAAGACCCTCAAGGTCCATCCATGTTGTCACAAACGGCAAGATATCGTCTTTTTTTATGGCTGAGTAGTATTCTAGTGTGTGTGTGTGTGTGTGTATATATATGTATGTATATACATATTATTTATATATATATACCACATCTTCTTTATCCATTCATCCATTGATGGGCACTTAGGTTGTTTCCAAGTCTTGGCTATTGTAAATAATGCTGCAGTGAACATAGGGGTGCATATATCTTTTTGAATTAGTGTTTTCATGTTCTTTGGATAAGTACCCAGAAGTGGAATAGCTGCATTATATGGTAGTTCTATTTTTAATTTTTTGAGGAATCACTATACTGTTTTCCACAGTGGCTGCACCAGTTTACATTCCCACCAGCAGTGTTTGAGAGTTCGCTTTTCTCTACATCCTCTCCAACACTTATTTCCTGTCTTTTTAATAATAGCCATTCTGACAGCCATGAGGTGATATCTCATTGTGGTTTTAATTAGCATTTCCCTAATAATTAGTGATGTTGAACATTTTTTCACATGCCTGTTAGCCATCTGTGTATCTTCTCTGGAAAAACGTCTGTTCAGATCCTCTGCCCATTTTTTTAAATTGGGTTGTTTGTTTTTTTGTTGTTGAGTCACGTGACTTCTTTCTTTATTTTGGATTTTAATCCTGTATCAGATATACGATTTGCAAACATCTTCTCCCAACTGGTAGGTTGTCTTTTTGTTTTGATGATGGTTTCTTTTGCCATGCAAAAGCTTTTTAGTTTGATGTAGTCCCATTTGTTCATTTTTTCTTTTATTTCCCTTGCCTAATGAGACATTTAAAAAAATACCACTAAGACTGATGTCAAAGAGCATACTGCCTTTGTTTTCTTCTAGGAGTTTTATGGTTTCAGGTCAGAGAGACTTTTTAAAAGAAAATCACATCACTGCCCTGCTTAAAACACTGATAATTTCCCACTGCCATTAGAATAAAATTGAAGCTCCTTTCCAAGCCCCCTGAGACCTGCATAGCTTCCTCGCCTCATCTGCTACCACTCTCACCTTGCTCACTGCACTTGCGCCACAGGGGCCGGCCTTACAGCCCCATTTCTGTCTCAGGCCTTTGCACACGGATTGTTCCCTGTGCCTGGAATACTCTTCCCACAGATCTCTTCCCATGGCTGACTCCTTCTCGTCATTCACTTCCCAGAGTTATCAGTGCAAATGTTGTCTCCTCAGATCCCCTCACCACTCTATCCAAAGTATTCTGCCCACCCACTACACACAGCAAAGTCATTCTGTACCACATTACCCTGTTTTATTTTTCATAAGACTTACCATCACCTGAAAGTATTTATTTGTCCACATTTTTCTGTCTCTCTCCTCACTAAATATCAGGCAAAGGGTGGGGCTCTGATACGTTTTTCTCACCCCTCATCCTCAGTGTCTGGCATATAGAGATGTTCAATAAACAATTATTAAATGGATGAAAAATTGAATGAATGAAGGGGAAGACATGAAAAGCAGCATATAACAACTCTCAGTGTTATGAACTAGAACAGAGATAACCAACCAAGGAAATGGTCCATGAAGATAAGCAGCTATCTAATTGCTGGATACTTTTATATACCTTGAAAATGTAAGATTACATTTTTATCATTCAGACTCTGACTATTTAAGGATAAACTAAACACCTTTCACACAGGAAATCTCACTTTTCACCCCTTCACACTTTTCGCTCCGTGTGATTCTTCCAAATTAAGGCCCATATCTCATTTCTCGCTTCCTCTTCAGGCTTATACAACACGTTCTTCGCAAAAACAATAGCAAGTAAATAGTTAGGATCATCTGTATTTTTGAGATGCTATAGTTAAATGATGTTTTGGACTTTGTTAATAACAGGACAATTGCTTTCATGACTTCTGTGAAATACCTGATAGTCACCTTAAAACTAATAGGTGTATTTTAAGTAAATTATCAAAGAGTGCCAAATATTATGATCTTTAGGTCTTCCTTTATTTTTCAGTCACGTTTATTGAGGTGTAACTTATATACAGTAAAATTGACCCCTTTTACATATACAGTTCTATGAATTTTGACAGATGTATCCAGTCACCTAACCACCACTACAATGCAGATGTAGAACATTTCTATCACCCCAAAGTTTCCTCGTGCCTCTTTGTAATCAGTCACCCTACCCCACCCCTGTCTACCACTGATTTCTTCTCTGTCCTTATAGTTTTGTCTTTTCCAAAATGAATCATAGAGTATATATCTTTTTGATTTTTTGATAATGTTTTTGAGATTCATTCATGTTGTTACATGCATCAATAGCTCATTCCTTTTTGTTGCTAAGTAGTCTTCCACTGTATGAATATACTACTTTTTATTTACCCCTTTATATCTTTCTTTGCTGACTGTATTTGGAGGTATTATATCCAGAAATATGGTCTTCTGGAAGACATTTTGGGTTTACTAAATAAACATTTATTGAGCCTCTTCTATGGGCCTGTGAAGTGAATAAGATGCAGTTTTCTTTTGAAGGGAAAAGAACAGAGCAGGTAAAGAACAGGGCAAGAGCTTTTTGTTGTTGTTTTTAGAAAAGTCCTAGTAGAGGGCAAGTTCTGTTTGTTAGGCTGTGAAAATTCTTTGAAACATAAGCATGTACAGTATTTAATTATGTGATGAGTTCACAAATCTATTTTTCAGTTCTCTTCACACACTTTATTGTGTGTGTTCAACTTTATTGATTGTAATGTCCTAATTAAAGTCTTCCTAATTAAAATCTTATGATGAGATAATACAGTAATTAAGAACACAAGCTTTAGACCCAGAGTAACATGGATTCAATTATTGTGTTCACTGCTCAGGTGCTGTGGACATTTCTTGTTTTGTCTTTCCAGAACAGCAACCCCTCTTCTTCTGGGAAATGCTCCCCCAGATCGTGATTCTCATGGAAGCTGCCATCCCTTAGGCACTGACTCCTGGAGTCCTGGACCCTCTCAGTTTCCTTTCTTGGCTCTCCTTTCTCTTCCCACCACATGTACGCTTGGGCACCAGACCCCTCACTGTCTGTTTTGTGACTGATTCAGAAATAACAGAGCTAGTTTTTTGAATGTTTACTATATGCCAGGAACTTTGCTAAATCTTTTCATGCATTATCTCATTTAATTGTGACAACCACAATGAAGTCACAATGCTGTGACTATAATTATCCTCATTTTTCACATGAGGAAACAGATGTTTAGAGACGTTTGTGAAAGTCACATGGCTAGTATGTGGTAGGGCCAGCTCCCTTACAAGCCTTTGCTCATAGCCACAGGACTGTGGTTCTCAGAAGCCAAAGCCCCACTCCTAACTCAGGACGTGTCCAGCAGAGCCTCTGGTGTCCTGCTCCGTGGGTGGGTGGAATGGTATTCAATGACTTGTTTTACCTTCTCTCTGCTTTAGCTTTACTGGCATCATGGATTCTGTGAGTCTTGTTAAATACTGGATAATTTTAACTACTATTCTTAGTTCATTCAACGTTTACCAGAGTGCCACAACCTTGTTATCATAGCTTCTGAGGGCCTTCAATATGACATTTATCTCTTTCAAAATAGTCACAATCCACTCTTTGCCAGGGACTGCTCTGGCGTTCCCTTCCTCTCTCTGGTCTGTGGGGCTCTGCCTCCCTCTGCTCTTCCCCATCCAGCCTGCAGCCCCTCACTCGACCCCCCTCCCCCAAGTCTGTGCCACCCGCTGCCCCCCCGTCACTTTGGCAATTGTGGGGTTGTTTTGTTTGTTTTTTGGTCTTTTTGCTGTGAGCTGTCAAGGATGCACAACAGCAAAAAAGTATAGCTCCCTCAAAAAAAAAATAGACATGATCCATCTAATCTTATCTGTCTGTGGTCTGGGGGTTTCTTAGTTTCCTCAGTTGTAGGTGTTTTCTCCAGGCTCTCATTGCTTTGTTACTTCTCTTTGGAGTTGCAACATTTTTTTTCAATAAAACTGAGTTAATTTCTTTCATTTTGTTTAATCTTTTCTTTTTGTTTAAGTTTGTTGGGGACAGATCTGCTGAACTATTATCCTGCTATTACACTGCAATCGACTGAATGTTTATGTCCCCCCAAAATTCATATGTTGAAATCCTAACCTCCAAGGTGACGGTATTAGGAGGTGGGGGCTTTGGGAGGTAATTAGGTCATAAGGGCAGAGCCCTCCTGAATGGGATTAGTGCTCTTATAAGAAAGACATCTTTCTCCTTCTGCCATGTATTATAGCAAAAAGATGGCTAACTACAGAATGTGTCCTCACCAGACATGCACTCTGCCAGTGCCTTGATCTTGGACTTCCCAGCCTCCAGAACTGTGAGAAACAAACTTCTATTGTTTATGAGCTACCCAGTCTATGGTAGTTTGTCATAGCAGCCTGAGCAGACTAAGACATATACCTAGAGTAGTATTACTCTAACTCTAGGACACAACTCATTAGTGAGTTGTGAAATCAGTTTGGTGGGTTTTTAAAACAGG